ATCGTTCAAACTAGAGAAATCAATTTCGCTATCCCGAATGTACCGTTTATTGGAAAAAAGACTGCTTTTTCTATGATCTTCGGCTGTTTCAGTATGCACAAAGATTCTATTGACGTACGAGAGTGAACAATTATTATACTGAAACGAAACCTCATCGTAACATAAAGCGAAGCAATCGAGTTTATACACGGTTGAAGACAAGTTTGGCTTGGTATTTGGCGCAAGTGCATCGATAGAACGTCGCAAGTAGGCACAGCACGATGGAGCGAGCACTGTAACCGGTAGGAGAAACAGCTGCATAATAATAGGCCCGGTTGAGCCGCAGGAAGAATGGAAGCGAGACAATGCAAAGAGTTGACTTCCGTTCAATAAATTGTCAGACTTGAAGACGTGATAAATCGGGCAGGTCTTGGTGCAACTGCGCGGCTAACGGTCGGAGGGCAAATGACCTGGACGGAGAAAAGGGTGATGGAGCCTGGAAGCGCAACCTTCGGTCATTCGCGGCCGGCTGAATGCGCGAGTGCCCTCAGGCTGCTCCCTTTTTCCCCTTTACTGCCGCGCGTTACATCGACGCATCTCGACGCTCTCGCCCGCGACCTCCAAGTCCACTTGCTGCTTTGGCATCCTCGATTCTCCATCCATCTAATCCCTGACGAACAATTGCTTTACGATTTCATATTTATTATTTTTACGACTCTGCAGTAGCAGCAGGCTGCACGGACCTTTGCGTGCGCGACGCTCAGCCTCCTCGTCTTATGGCCTGATCCTCTCTCCCCCTCTCTCTCTCTCTTTTACACCCGCATATTATAATGCAGGTTGCAGTTGGCGATCTCCTTTTTAGCATTTTTCCGTAGCATAGATTTCTGACTTTTGCGCGCGGCCCGAAACTTTTATTGTCCTGCTTTCCTTTGAAATGAGGGCCTAGCGAAAAAATATATTGACTTTTGAAGAATCGCTCTACAACAGAGATATAGATCTCATTGTTCCCCTTCGTAAATACTAGTTGACTTGGGACAATCTTGTGTTCTCGTTTTTGCCTATTCGTAAGTCTATTACGTCATGCTAATGTAATATTCTTTGAGCGCCAATAAATCATATTCAGCTAGGCGCGCGCGCAAGTTTTCAGCTCCCATTTTTGAGACAGGAGCAGAGTTTTCAACTTCTTGACTCCCGGCGACATTTCCCCCGCAAAGAAAGTCAATGGGTCAAATAATAAAAGGAAAGGCCGTACGGTTAAAAAAGTGCCGTACATTCCGGTCTTTTTTACGGTGTTTTACTGCATAAATACTTACGATTTTTATTTTTTTTCAAACTTCAGCCAATGAAGGGCAATATATAAATTTCACTTTGAACATGCACCGTTGGGCACAGTTGATTTGTTTCTTTTATTGCAACCTTTCTCCCAACCCTAATCGTCGTCACTCGGTCAGTCCCTTCTCGGACGTTCGCGTGACTTTTCTCTACCTGCGTAGCGTTCTCTCGTGAATACAGTAAAAAAGGGCTCCTCCGAGCCACTGTTCGGTAAAAAGTGAAAACGGTTTTCCACTTAACTGCCTCCTTGGCGTGTGCTAACCTCGCGCGTGCGGGACCAATAAAAAAATAAAATATCTCCGTCGTTGTGACTTCTAGCGGCAAGGAGAAAGAGAAAACGCTAGCAAGGATTGCTGCTGGCTCGTGGCTCTCGCCCCGCGAGAGTCGCCGCTGAAAACCCTTGGACAGAAAAAAAAATAACTGAGCCGTGTCGGAAAAGGACGACCACGGGGCGTAAAAACGTACAAACGAGCGAGCAAAAAAGACGAGGAAGAAAAAAGAAGCAGAGGAAGGCGAGGAAGAAAAAAAAGTCTAACGAGAGCAAATGAAACGTCGAGGCTTGGTTCACGGAACAAGACGAGGTCGGCGCGCGCGCGTTCCGAAACAATAGTCAATATTTTAGGAACAAGTATAATGCGTGGGCTATGTGCCGCGCGAGCGCAAGCCTGCGGGCTGCAAGCCGATTATGGGCCGAGCCACAAATCTGGGTCGAATCCCCAAGTCGCGCTCGCTTCCACGTTGCTCGGATAGGATAACACTCGTGCTGCCGCCGACGGACTTCCCGCTGGTACAGCCAAGGGCGCGTTTAACGGAGCATGTGTTCGAAGAAAACAAGGGATTTTCATTTGTCAATTATCTTCGGGAGCCGGTAAGCTCGGCTGTGCGTTCTCGACCTTGGCGGCGACGAGGCCCGAAGCCGTGCCCGCGACGGCTATCCGCAACGTCGAAACAGATTAAACGCGTACGCAAACACCTCGTCCGCGGACTCGCTACTCGCTCGGTCCGTGACTTGGTGGCGGTCGATCGAGCGCACGTCTCGCCGGGGATGCCACGTGCGAAGCAGTTTTCCTCGAGTTTTCCGGGAAATCGGTCGAGGCTGCCGAGCCCGCGGGCACTTAGGCCGAGACGAGAAAGTGTTGGCGCTCGTAAAGAGAAGTGGCAGAGAGCGTGACATTCGTGTGAGTCGCGCGTCATCTGGGAGAGCTGGCCGGGGGCCTTCTGCGATGCGTCTGCGCCGCAGCAACGCACGCCTCTGCGCCGAGGACAATATGGATATCACGCGCTCGCGCGCGCGCGCGAAGTAGGTGATTAGGCCCGTCAAGTTATTTCGTACTTGTGGCCTGTCACCAACGGCCGCCTGCACATTCTCCGTCGCGACTTTTTCTCGAGTGCCTTGGCATGCGTGCGGTCACCTCTCTCTCTCTCTCTCTCTTCGCGAGCTGCTCGCCTTTTTCCACGAAAATCTCTCTCGTTGCAAGGTTTTTACGAGGCTACTTTATTATTTTCCTCGGCGCTCCCTATCCGGCGTTTTCCAGCCACGGAGAGTGTTTGGTAATTTTGCTGCCCGACCCCCAGACAAACGCCAGGTTCAAATACCACGTGCAGCCGCTTGCCACGCTGACAAATTGCCCTCCTTATATTTATTTTTTTTTCCTTATCAAACGAGTCTGCGCTATATCTTGACTACGGCGCTACGCGCAAGAAGCTGCCGATACGCCAATATATCGATTGATTCCAAGCTGAGATTGACGAATACGGTACACTCGGCAGCTGCGACGCGATAAGCGAGCTTGTACACCTATGACCAAAGCACAGCTACATTTTTATCGAGGAGCGGCCGAGTGGAGAGCAGCTCGAATCAAAGTGGCGATTAGCTACTTGCCGCGTGGCTGATTAAATTGGCCGCGGTTCGTCGTGGTTGACAAGTCGGCGACGGCGGCGCGGAAGGCAGAGCCTCGTCGAACGGAGCGCACGGCGGGGTGGCACTGCGTCTCGCTCAGGCAGTGCAGGGGGAGAGAGAGAGATTCGCGCAGGATGGAGCTCGAAACCGAGTTAGCGTGGCAGGCCCGCCGGCGGCAGAGAGGCGCGTCTATCCGGCCTGCCATCTCTCGCACACGTCGCTCGCGGCCATTGCGCCCTCGCTGCCACGCTGAAGCCTCGGCGCGCCTAATATTCGCTGCTCTCGCGCGCCCGAGCCACGGGCCAGAGTCGCCTCCTAGACGCTATCGCGGCGAGATTGCAGCGGCACGCGGGAGTTCCGTCGCGCGCGTATGTTTTTTTACGCGCGTCAGTGCGGAGCGTGTTTACCTTTTGGTGACTAGCCGTCTGACTCCGCTCGTAAATTGATAAAGCCACGGGCGCGCGCAATGTCCCGGAGACAAAGACGTGCCACGAGAGCGTAGGCACGTCTCTGTATTGGATACTTTATTGTCGCTCGGCTTTTCTTTCGCTTAATTTCGTCGGAGCCAGCGACGCAATAGCTAATAGGCTTATCTGATCTGGCGAGGCGCAGATCGTGCGAGCCAGCGCTTGCAGCCACGAAACGACTCCATTAAAAAAATCGGACGCCGGCATAGCGAGCGTTGAAGAAATCGTCGAGCGTACTTGGCGAATGATTCACATCGTATCGGCAGGCGGAACTCGAATCGCGCGAAAACAGAAGTATCAGTCGTACTGAAAACCGAGTCGGATTCGTGTGACACTCGAGAATTCCACTGGCAGTCGTGAAATATATACAGGGAGCTGCGAGTGTCGATAAAAAAAAATGAAAAAGAAATCGCCGCCCCTGATAATTCGAGCCGATAAGCAGATGTCGGCTCGAGAGTCGGATTATAAAAGCTACTATATAGCAGCAGGCGCGCGCACGAGCGGCACTTTTGATATTATCTCGCGCGTTTGTACTCGATATCAAGGCGCTCTCTGTATTGGGCGCACGCGAAACCGCTTGCGCGACGTTTAACTGCCGGATTGCGTGGGACAGCCAGGAGCCGCGCGGGCGCTTTGTTTTCTTTATCGGCAGATTTGTGAATCGCGCAAACGAGCTGCCATCCGCGATCGGCCGTGCAGCGGGTAATCGAACGAGCAGCCAACGCGCCGACGCGCTCGTCTCTCGAGGTCGCGACTCGGGAGTCGGCTGTCCGGCAAATGGTTGGGCAACTGGCATCGACATTGCAACAGGCTGCACAAAGAGAGACTCGTATCTCGTGGCCGCTCGACGCACAGCGCAAGCCGGCAACACAATAGCCACAGAGGCGGCCGCTCGTTTGCAATAGATTTGGAAGCAGTCGAAAGCGGATGCCTTGCAGCGTGATCGGACCGGGTCCGCAAGGCGACGGCCTAAGCACGCCGGACGAGGAAGCGTCCGGGATCGGACGAGAGATACGTCGCGATGGAGAAAGAAGCGTCGCGGATTAGACAGGTAGACAAAGACAGGAGGTAAAGAGGGTAGCGCATGGCGCCGAGGGGAGCGATAGAATCGAGCGACGCGGCTGCCTGTGCCTGCCGATCGTGGAAGAGAGAACTGCAGCACGGCAGCTTGGCTCCGCCTCTCGGGCTGCCGTTAAGCCAACCGTACGCCGATGGAGGAGGGGCTCGAGTGCCCCCGCGCGTCGGCAGCAGCAGCTCCACGGCAGCCAAACTCGCCTAGCGCTGCTCGGCAGCACCCACGCAACTCAGTACCGTCTGGGAGCTCGAGTCGCGAGCCACGCATCGCCCCACGTCTTACCAGCCCGTCGCAAACTCGACGCTCGCGCCGTGTGCTCGTGCGCCGAGCGACAGTGCGCCGACAGTGAGTCCGAGTCCGATCCCGCTGTCGCGGTGCCGTCGCCTGTCCGCCGACAGCATGGAGCCGCTGACGCCACCGCAGACGCCGCCGCACATCATCGAGCACCGTGGTCGCTGGCAGCCCCAACAACAGCAGCACCACCAGCACGCCACCTTCTTCGAGCACTGGCTGCGCAACGCCGCGATGATGGCCGCGCGGGGATGCTGCCCACCGCCCCAGGAGCAACCGCACCGAACTATGTCCACGACGCACCACGTGGGCATCACGCTGAGCGCCCTCGCCATTGCGCCGCCGCCGCCCTCGGCCTTCCTCGCGCGCCGGCTGCCCGGGCAGCGACCCAAGAAGCAGTTCATCTGCAAGTTCTGCAACAGGCAGTTCACCAAGAGCTACAACCTGCTGATCCACGAGAGGACGCACACCGACGAGCGGCCCTACTCCTGCGACATATGCGGCAAAGCCTTCCGTAGGCAGGACCACCTCAGAGATCATCGGTAAGTTCGGTTGTCCGCTTTGTAATTGTCCAGTAGCGTCTCGCTGCCTGAGGGAGACCTTGTTGCCCCCCCCCCCCGCTACGCCCGTTCGCATTGCGACACTGTCAGTGATTCTTGCGCGTTCTCCCGTGACAACAGGTACATCCACAGCAAGGAGAAGCCGTTCAAGTGCTCCGACTGCGGCAAAGGCTTCTGCCAGAGCCGCACCCTGGCCGTGCACAGGATCCTGCACATGGAGGAGTCGCCGCACAAGTGTCGCGTTTGCGGGCGCAGCTTCAACCAGCGCAGCAACCTGAAGACCCACCTGCTCACCCATGGCGAAGCGCCGCAGGACCTGCGCGTGATCGAGCAGCAGCGCCAGCAGCAGGCCGTCGTCGCGCACGCGAGGCTGGCTCAAGTGACGACGCAGCTGGACAAGTTGGCCCAGGCGCCCGCGGCGACGCGCCGGCAACCTCCGAAGCTCGGCTTCACTATCGACGAGATCATGCGTCGTTAATCGACAGTTGGAAAGCAGCGCGCGCGCGCTCGCTCGCTTTGTACGTACAATCCAGTGATTCAGCCTGGCCGCTGTGAAGGGCGAGGGAACGTATCTGCGTCCGATATGTCACTCTCCTTTTAGCTGTTGCTTGTTTATCCTGTCCTATTCACGCGTACACGTACGTTTGTAACGTCGTCATTACCTCTCATTATTTATGTACCGTAGACGCGTAATCGAAGCCAGCCTGTAAATATTGTTCATTGTCGTTTGATCGCTCACTGTACTATGACCACTTCTTGTAAATGTGTGACAAATCACTGAGTAGAAACTCGGGGATCCGTGTGTTTAAGGAGATGGAAGGGCCCGTTCCCTTTGCTCGCACTCTCTCTCTCTCTCGCTCTCTTAAACTTACGCCACTCGAGACGAGCGCGTGAGAGCGAGATGAGCCTAACAGACAGACATAATGCCTTGCTAGAGAGAGAGAGAGTTGCCAGAGCGAGAGTACTCGCAGCGTGAAAAGTAGGGATAAGAGAGCGATTACGGCTGAGTAGCCCGTAAGCTCGAATTGCACCAATTGTCGAGGCTGTCCCGTTGAGAAAGAGATTGTATACGTTACCTGTCTACTTAAGATATAGAGACGTTTTATATGTATACTTAAAGCGCACGAGGAGCGTGCGGTGCGCAGCACAAATCACTACCCTTAGTTTATTTATGAATGTAACATAGATAGTTGAAAGCTGTACCAAAAAAGAGAAAAAAGAGGGAGGATGAGTTAAGGCAATCAGGCCCAGATTCAACGATGTACTGAGCCTGCAGCCCTAGTCGTTTCTTGTATTATAAACTCGTTGTTAATTATCCGAACATTAAAAACTTGATATTCATTCGACACATATCGTATGTTTTTTCTTCTGCCCTTCACCACCATACTACTTCGTTCGCTTATAATCATTTCATTTTTCTTTGTGCGGATTATTTCGAATCGGCCGACTTATTGACAAACAATTTCACCTTCATCGTCATTGCTTAGTTAATTATTGATTTGTTGTCATTAATAATCGTGCGCTTGGTGACACGCATCGCAATCAGTTTCGTTAAGCCAAAGAAATCAATGCTGTCGTCAACACGCATGTCGGGCAATATTAATCAGCGCGCCGTTCATCAAGTAGAAAGATATCAAGGGAGGAAGCTCGAGTGTTTGATCTCTGACGTCAAAGGTCTGTTAACCTGCTTGCTCGAGAAGTTAGGGTTTGTTTAACTTTAATTAATTTCAACAGCCTCATTGGCTCGACGATAAAGGCTAATGAAAAACGGAGCAAACAAGCGACGGCGGCTCCAACGATCCTCGTTCCTTGTACGTGTGCCTTCCATTGTCGGCCGCCACGTTCCCCTTGTGTCGTGCCATTTTCGGCTGCTAATCTCGCCCCCCTCCCTCCCAGCCGTCCTTATTACATCGTCTTTTGACCTTTTCGTTCATTTCTCTCAAATTATGTCGTAAATAACCCCCGAACGCACTTTCCTGTGCCCGACGACTCAAATCTATTGCTTCAAAGCTCTTATAATTTGACTTCTTCACAGATACGGTTGGCGCTTGGTCCAAATTAGATCTGCAGATCATAAATACTCAAATTTAATTTTTTTACGGAACAATGATGAAATACGTTTACTCCGAGTTCGCTGCTAACAGACTTCTGAAGTCCGTTTAAACCACTGACTCAAGTATATTCCCTTGTGGAGCTTATAGAGGCTCATTTTTAATTATTTTTCATTTGCACATAGCTATTTGTAAATGTCACGTGCCATTTGCGTTGAAATCGATGTTCAGTGAACAGGGAAGGCCACTAGACTTTTACATAACAGCAACGCGTTTGTTAGCAAAATATTTTATTCGTGATATTGCCTTCGAAAATTATCACACTAGCATTTGCAATTCAACAATACACAGTCGATTATTTTTTATCTTGAATTTTCGAATAGTTTAATCACTTTCAATAGATTATCGTTGAATCAACTTTTCAACAAGCGTTATAAATAATTATAAATAAAAGTGAGAAGACTTCACGAGTTTGAAAGTACTACCCTGGCATTGAGCAAAACTTCGGTGGCAAGTAGCGTAAGGCAAACGTAAAAATTGCACATCAAAAACGTAAAATTTGCTTGATTTCCAGGTATTAAGCAAAATGTCTAACGTGGTCCCGGCAAACGGAAATTTCTCATGCTCGTTGATTTTAATTCCGATTTTCAAAAGTGGTTTACAATGAGAATAAGGTTTAGGCATAAGACACAAAAATTTTCGTAGATAAATTTTGATTATTAGATAATTTTTGATTATAAATACAAATTTACTTTCGTAAATTTTAATGTTATTACTTTTAATGTTAGCCAATTGGATAAATGATATATTAGCTGAATTGAACCTGCATTTTACTTATTGCAGCAAGTTAAAGATTCGTGGCAGTGTGAATCGCACAATATTACTGGTACGAACAATGAGCATCGCGAATTGTTCACATTGATTCGCCGCTGATTTGCAATTACGTTTTTCATAACCTAAACGTTTGTTCCGACTCCGCCTCCCTTAAGCTCAAACAAATCTTTGATCAAACTAGATCTTCTGTTGGAACTGATAATGTGATACAATCACCGACTACTAATGGCGCAGATTTATCTTTAGACGCATTTAACATATTTTTCTGTGCACTAGCTGTTTGTGACTAATAACAGTCTTTCTCATTTTCAATAATAGTTTGTCCTTCTGTAGACAAAGCGCAGACAACGATGTCTTCATTATTTGAATCTAATTAATCTCTTATCATGAGTATTTGGCATCACTTCATTATAGCTAATCGCTCTATTGCCAATTACTACTGTCTTATTAATATTGTGGAAATATGTACAACAGGTGTACACAGCCTTTGAAAATACAGTTGAAATGAAGGGTTGTCGGGACCACGTTAAGTATCTTACTCAATGTTCGGAGATTAAGCAAAGCGACTCGATAGAACCAGACAAACAGATGAATATTCCATTCTTACGAGTGCGTAACGCTATTTACCGAGGTTTTGCTGGATGCTCAGGCAATTTGTGTAATGCATAAAAATGCTTATTGTCTCGACGTGTACACTCGATTATATATATTTAAAAAATGGGACGTAGACTGCAAAAGTGAAACAACTGGCTTTTCCAACTTAATCATGAAAACGACTTTGGAAAGGTTGCTTTTAATAACATTTTGCCTATCCACCGAAAATAGGATTTGACGAGAGAGAATTCGATATCCATTTAATCGAAAGTATCTGATTTAACGTGAACATCGATAAAATAGTTTATTTTTCTGTAATTATCCGAATAGAGAGCAAGTATCTCATAAGAAATTTCTAATTCATTTGATGATTGTCATCCAATAAACTATAGCGCAATGATACAAAACTGCGAAGATTGAACAAGTCGAATCGAAAGTTTTCTATCGAGATAGTACTTTTTTTTCAAGTCAATAGAGCAGATAAAATATATTGCCTTGTTGTTCGCCGCAGTCGCGCGAGCGAGCCATCAAAAAGGAATTATCTTTTCAAAGGTTTATTGCGAATCGAGTAAAAAGTCTGACAGCTAATAACCGGCTAGGCGCGCGCGCGGCAATCAATTAAATCGAGCGAGAGAGAGAGAGAGAGAGAGAGAGAGAGAGAGAGAGAGAGCTGAGAACGCAAAGGGAGAATGATGCGTGCATCGAAAAATAAAAACGCCGGGCGCAATAAAAATGGCGTCGGCTGCCCTTAATTTAATAATTCGCGTGGAACAATCCTTGCCGAATGTCGGGTAGCTGACCGTGCGCCGTGTAATTACAATCCGAAAGCGGAGAAGATCCGCAGCCTTGAGACACGTTCCGCGCGCGCACACCTTCGTTGCCGGCGTAAGAAGGTGAGCTCCGTCGATGAAAAATGACGCTCGCCCTCGCGCTCGAAAAGGCAAAAGAGGAAGCAAAAGAAGCGAGCGGCGCTCGTGCACGCCAGACGTATACGTATATGCGTATCGTAGGCGGATAATGGTCCTCCTCGGACAGTGGATATACGTATCATTTGGAGAGAGTTCGCAGTTCGCACGCGGGCGGACTTGATTTAGGAAGCGATTACCTTTCCGCCTTTCGGGACAAACTCATCAACGCGAGCGATCCTAGGAACTCGCGTCCTTCGTAATTATTGTAATCAGAGGCTTTTGCTTTGGCGACCATAGGCACAGGCTTAAAGAGCTACCTGCGCGTCCTTCCAGCGCTCGGCCGCGCCAGTCATATCCTTATACCTGCGCGCGCCAAGTTCAGCCCGTCGATATCCCAAACAAACTCTTACTGGACACTCACACCCAAGGAACAAGCCGAGGCGCTGCTATATTTATGCACGTGCTGCAAATCCGCTTGCTCCCTCTCTCGGTCTATTGATTTTCCCCAAATTTCAAGCATTACTGCTGAATCTACAGCGTCTCATTTTTACACGCTTCGGCGATTGTTTCGGCAGCGAGCACGGACAACGAATAATAATCTTTGAATAATAGCCGTCGGCCAAGCTTTGATTACGTATATTGTTGGACGGCCGCAGCGAGCGAGCCGATGCTATACATCTATTCCGAACAATTTCAAAATTTTTATCCTCAATTACCAAGTTTTACGCCCCAAAGGTATAAGAAAGGATGATAAAGTGAAGGCAAGGTTCAAAAACTGTTAAAAGCTTTCCGAAGGCATTCCACTGGCTGCGCGTACCAGAGGCTCCCACACTCTCTTTCGATGCACCAAACTCTCGCAACCGGCACACAAAAGTCTTTGAACTTTTTAAACTTTAATTACTTTTCTGCGGTTTCTTCCTCCCCTGCCAAGCTTCAACTTGGCCCTTCACTTTTTACAGATTATGTATCACTTGGCTGCTACTCTTCACCTGCGCGCCCAAAGTATAAGTGCAGAAGCAGCAGCTCCCGTGATTAGTGGTGCTGTTTTTTTCCTTTTGTTTTGTTTTTTCGTGAACTATCTCTTGGAATTTCGTCGGGGAACAAAACGTTAAACTCAACTTCTGAATGGATGCGATGCAGCACGGTAATACTAGCGCGCTCAAAGTACTATTTTCACTTTCTTTTATTTTTTTTTGTGACAGCTGATTGTTTTCTCACCCGTCGGGGAATGCGCCAGAATACGCGGCTTCTATTATTTATTTCTATTTTTAATATTATCTTTAGACGAGCTGCCTCGAATAAAAAATATTTATTTGAAGAAATGGACGGCTGACATTGACGTTCGCAGATATTACCACTCGCAATATGCAATTTATTATTTTCTCAAATGACAAGCGTCGACAGTTGAAAGTGCAAGGCAAAATCGAACAATGATGCATTTTCCATCGTCAAACAGCAATGAAACTGAGGCCGTGCTACCGAAAACTTGAAACTGCGAAAAACTTGCCTGTTTCACCTGAAAAAATACCACATTAATAATGTTCCGAATCGGTCTCTGATACTCCCAGAAAGATAAATGCACAGTGGTATTCGAGAAGCAAAAAAAGTAAAATCGATTTGGTGCAGTCGGTAAGAAGAATGGAATGAAATGACTAAATAATTATAGGTGTAGGTGGTTGCGTCGCAAGGTCAAGGAGCAAGCGAGCGAAAGCAATAAAGAATTTGAGGACTTTTGCTTAAAACAAGAATCATGCAGGTTGCGATCGGTGTGAAGCACTGAAATTGGCGCAATTACGCGCGCGTAGCGTCTGATAATAAAATCATTAAAAAGGAATTCCGCCCGCATCAGTTTCAAGTCTGTCTCTCTCTCTCTCTCTCTCTGGTGCACGTCCTGGAGAGGCTATATAGTCATTTTTGAAGATTCGCCGAGAGTGCAACGTGCTCT